TTTTTTATATCCAAATAAGTATATAGCTTAGTAGCATTGCATCCATTAGTCCTTATGAATGCTTCTATTCTTTCTAGACTTTCATCACTCTTCCTTTTGCAGAAGCCGCGGATTATATCCAATAAAGTTAGTATTATTCCGAATATGACAAACGAGAAAGCTGCATATATATATATAAATGTTGAAATTAGGGCTACATTCTAAATGTAAATGCTGGTAGCACATCTAATGCAAGTAGATCAGAGCATCAGTTTATCAAAAGATGATGTGATGGAAATTAATGGCGGTTACTTTACCTATATATAGTAAGACCATTTGAAGTTTTGTGTAGTCTGCAAGATGAAATAGATGTTAAAATGTTATGCAAAACAGTAATACACAAATTTCAATCGTTATATCGATGCACTGATTCAATACACATAATTCATGTTTATAATACACATACATATAAATACGATATAATGAACATAAATTATGTGTGTTATGAACATGAATTCTGTGTATTATATAGTTGAGGACACATAAACACTTAACATAATATGCAGAATTCACGTTCATAATACGCAGAATTCATATTCATAATACACAAAAAAATTCATATTCATTATATCGTGTTTATGTGTATGTATATTATGAACATGAATTCTGTGCATTATAAAGTCAAATTTTGTATATTTGACAATTTGCCCACAAATTTATAGTGGACCTTGTTGAGCATATAACCATTGAATGTGCAATCCAACTATTAACTTAGGCTTTTAGTTGGGATGTAACACATTCTTTAATTTGGTATCAGAGCCAGACCAAAAGTCATGGGTTTGAATCTCTACGTCACCCGATAAGGCGACTACGGTCACGTGTTGCTTGATCAGGAAGAAATCTATAATTACTTTAGAGCAAATACCAATTTTGATCCCACGAGTATTAGCAAAATGACGGTTTTGGTCCACATGTTTAATTTCTACCAATTTTCATCCACGACTATTGTTTTAATACCAATTTTAATCCACGACTATTATTTTAGTACCAAAATTCATCACGTCGGTCACCCATCTATTTAAGACATCCCTAAATCTAAAAATTTTAAGGACATTTTCATCTTTTTCAACTTATGATTCCAATTTGAGCATAAGTAAATGAATTTAAACCCTAAGATCGATCTCAATTCGTAGTTCTCCTCCCCATCCTACATGAATTTGAAGAAGAAAACTGCGAATTGGGATAAATTTTAGGGCTTAAATCCCTTTATTCATGCTCAAATAGGGATCCTAATTTGAAAAGCACGAAACTACCCTTAATAATTTCACATTTCGGCATGTCTTAAACGAAGGGGTGACCGGCGTGATGAATTTTGGCACTAAAACAATAGTTGTGGATGAAAATTGGTACTAAAATAATAGTGGTGGATGAAAATTGGTAGAAATTAAACATGTGGACCAAAAATGTCATTTCGTTAATACTCGTTGGACCAAAATTGGTATTTGCTCATTACTTTATTTAATGCATTCTGTATACGTATAGTTCACCAAACCACCCAGAAATTAAAGATGGTTACTTACGTCGATCAGCAATCACATTAGTGGCAGAAAAGCCAAGAAATTTTCTAGATTCTGCAAGATGAAATATATGTTAAAATGTTATGCAAAACAGTAATACACAAATCTGTAGTGGCTGAGTGGCTCTCACGATTGATCAGGAAGAAATTATTTTAATTATATTCTGTACACGTATAGTTCACCAAACAACCCAAAATGTTTTGTATGGAAATTAAAGATGTTACTTTACCAAAAGGAATATCCACAACAGTGCTAAGCCCTTTTTTAGATTCTGCAAGAGGAAATACATGTTAAAAATGTTATGCAAAATAGTAGTACACAAATCTATCTTAATTAAAATAAAAAAAAAATCATATGAAAATAGATACACATCATTCATTAAATGTTATGCGAAATAGTATTATACAAAAAAATAGTCTCCGTATTCCACATCATTTATTAAATGTTATGCAAAATTAATATGGTAAATACACTAAAGTATATGAATGAATCTAAGTGGATTATAGAATACAAGTATGTGGGCTCAGTCAATTGTGACCGGGAGTCCAATATTTCCGAACAAGTACATCTTAGGTTAAAGTCCAAAAGTCACCCCAAGGCATTGAATGTGCCTTATATATGAAGGGTTGAAGGGGACACATTTTGGGGGCTTGGCATGTGAGTCACGTGTAGTTGAACTTCCAAGGCATTGGATTATTACTAGGCATCCATCCTCAAGTACATGTTAGTTGAAGGGGACACATTTGGAAGAATGTTAGTTGATATATATATATATATATGGATAATTGTGTTAACCGTTATGTTGTATATCTTTATAATTATAACATTATTAATAATATAACAAAAAAATAGTCAAAAATAATTAATAATATCACAATGATAACAATAAACTGTAATAATAAATAGTTAATTTACTACAACATCTCTATAACCAGATAATACTATCAGCTGATTAAACTAGCTAACACAATCACTTATCAACTAATTAAACCAGCTAATACCACAATCACTTATCAGCTAATTAAACCAATCAGGCCTTCAATTAACAACTAACAGCTAATTGACGAACACTGTACCATTTAGTTGTATATTTCCTCCAATTCATGAAACATGGAGGGAAATCTAGTCATGTTGGGCTGACCATTGCAAACTAAGAGTGTGTTTGGTTCATGGTTTAGCTATTAGGAATGGAATCAAAGTCATTGTTATTGTTCAATTGACAGGTTTTTAGAATACTATTCTACGATTTGATTACCCCCTTAATTAGAAAACACATTCACTAATAAAATAAGGGTTTCATTCTATTATTCACCTTAGTAATTTGATTTTTAAGTTTGGATTAGTGCTTTTAGATTTTTGTTTTTATTTTTATTTTTTCATATTGGTGCTTATATTAGAATATAAATGGTCTGTTTTTGTATTTTTAAAACCTCTATTTCTATTATAGGTTCATACATAACCCAACAATAATATTGGTAATCATTCCAATTCCACCTTACTACTAAATATGTAAAATATATTTTCACCAAAACCTATTACCATTACCCAAATATTCCGATTCCATGTACGAACCAAACACACCCTAAATGTGATTTCCACCTTCATTTTGTCATCTGATGAACAGTCAATTGAGTTCAAACTTCTCTCCAAATATAAAATGACAACTAAACCATTTAAATTGTTCCATTGCAGTTTAATATAATGGAAGAAGTCTCTAGAATGACAGTATGAAGTATATGAAAATTAATGAAATATTTTATAATGAGGTGTGAAAGAGTAGAGAGATAATACCATTGCTATAATTGCACGTAATTCCATTAGCACAGTAGCAAACAAATTTTGTTGAAATGCCACTGGAACCGCATCGTCCCCCGGACCTCATGCACTCCTCGCACAAGCTATTATTTGCTTTCCACCCCACCAAAAAACCACCCCCCACGGATGTTCTTAGAAGCTCCTCAGAAACAAGGGAAGCATTACGTAAAGCCTGAAAAGCTCCTTGAGTGACAGTAACAAAGATCTCACTCCGGCACTTGATGGAGATACCGGCGGGGAGGATATTTGGCAATCCTGCACTGGGTGACCAGAGGACATTATTTCTGTTTGAGTTATTAGAATTGTCTTCACTGCAGTTAAAGAGGCTGGGAATTGGATTAACTGGAGCTGTGGCTATGACGGTGCAACCGTAGAACAGGGTGATGTTCTGGTCGCCAGATGAAACGTCGTAGCTGAAGAGGTTTAGGTCCAAGGATGCGTTTCGAGGATTTGAGGGGCAAATATTGCTTAACAGATCATCTCGGGCAATAGTGGCCGTCTGCCACCGGTTGCTGATATTAAAAACTCTGTATTTCACCGATAGGATTATTATTTCAGTTCAGCCCAAAATGTAGGTGGCCGCAGTAGGCCGGACGGCTCCCTCCCCAGAAAGGGTAGCCAATGTTTTCAATATTGGCGCAGTTGAATGACTCACCGCAGCTCACATACTCATCAAGACAGAAATTTGCAGGCGTGTGGATGAAGATGAGGAGTGTAATGAGTGAGAGCAATGATTTAAGACTAAGATTGGAATCCATATTGGCCGGGTGATCATGAAGCATTGCGGTTTAGCTACATATGTGCTGTTTAACTGCTCACAAACTTCAACTCTTGACTTTTAGTTTGCTTATGTCAGATTTTTGGACTTGGTATTTACAGTAGTTACGTTCGTAATAGTGACATAGAGCAGACCCTGTAAATTACTGCATATTATTTAGATACTAGTTGGCTTAGTCGTGTGCACGCGTTTTGGGCAAAACGTCATGTCCAACGATCAATTAGTCTGTTCTAATTTTTAAATAATATATATAATTGTTATATGAAAAAATATAAGTCCAAAATGTTTTGGGCAAATTCTAAAAGTTTTGCACTATCTCCACATTCACAATCAGTAACACAAGCGACAAAATCGCAGTAATACTCAAGGCCGACCGCATCATTTACTCCTGGCTGACCCGTTCCTGTTCGTCATCAAATAAGGAAAAAGGGTCAAATAGGCCCTCAAACTTTTGTTAAAAAGTCAATTAGATCCTCCAATTTTTTAAAGGTGCAATTACACCCATGAACAATGTATTTTGATGCAAAGAAGCCCAAATACAGGTAAATAACCTGCTATCATAGGTCATTGAAGATTCGGCGTATTTCCGACGTATTTTCCGGCAATCGGTGGAGAAGGCAACCCAAATTTGGGTTGAATTGCATCTCTAATATATATTAGACGGTTTCATTATTTAATGCATGATTTCAGCCCTAATACTCTGTATGAGAGTTATGAATATTTATCAAATTTGTTCTTACATGACAAAACAGTGTTTTACTTTGTTGAAAACAGCAGGTTGGCAGTATTATTTAGATATTATGTCATAAGATCCCAAACTTAAAATCCTCATTTGATACATTATCGACCCTTTCTTGCATCAAATTTCTGTGGTAACTGATGATGATGTAGAGAACAGCTGAGGGAACTCGGTTGGAGGACAGAAAACTGGTTTGGGTGGAATCTGCAAGGAGCCAATGCTTCCCTCCAACATCTCCACCACTCTTCTTATAGAAGGGCGGTCTGCTGGATTTGTTTAGATGCACCACAAACTAACCAAGATCATCTTCATTGCCATTTCTTTATCCTCCTCATCTATGATGCCTTCAAGATTGAAATCTAATCCTTGCTCCAGATGCTCATATATCCAATTCGGGAAATATAAGTCACTCGTTTGAGCTGCGTTTACATTCTCCCTTACTCCCACCATGTCGATAACTGTCATGCCATAACTATAAACATCAGACTTGTGTGAGACGTTTCCAATGCTTCCGAAGATAACTTCTGGAGCAATGTATCCTATTGTTCCTCTAACACCACACGCAGATAGCGATACAATGCCCTGCTCTTTCTTGCACAGTTTTGCCAGGCCGAAATCAGAGATTTTGGGTGTGAAATCCTTGTCCAAAAGAATGTTATCAGGTTTAATGTCAAAGTGCATGATTCTTGTGTTACACCCTCTGTGCAGATATTCTAGTCCTCGAGCAATGCCAATTGCAATCTGGTACAATGTCTTCCACTCCAACGGACAACTCTTATTTTGGGACCCCTTGTTGCCTATGTACTTGTCTAATGATCCATTAGGCATGAATTCATAGACCAACGCTCTTTTCTTATGATAACAAAACCCTACAAGAGTAACTATGTTCACGTGGGAAGTTCGACTAATGCTACCAACTTCATTGATGAAATCTTCTCCATTACCCTTTGTGTTGGTCAATAGCTTCACAGCTACTGGGCATCCATCAGGTAACTTTCCTCTATATACACTACCAAAACCTCCTTCTCCTATTTTATTATTGAAAGAATTGGTCATTTTCTTTATATCCAAATAAGTATATAGCTTGGTAGCATGAAATCCATTAGTCCTTATGAATGCTTCAATTTTTTCTAGCCTTTCATTTCCCCTTCTCCAGAAACATCTCCTTTTGAGGAAGTATATTATAAGCGCTGAAGTTAGTACTACTCCCAGTAAGCCAAACATGGCAGCTGCATATAAAGGTTGAAAGTAGGAGTACATTCTAATTTTAATTTTTAAGTGCTGGACTATGGTAAGAAATAATCTAATGCCAGTAGGTCAGAGCATCTATTACATTAACAAAAAATTATGTGATGGGAATGGTGATTACTTTACCTAGAGCAACTTTCACACCAGTGCTAAGCCCTTTCCTAGATTCTGCAAGAAAAAATAGATGTTAAAATGTTATGCAAAATAGTAATACACAAATGCCAATGACCTAGCTTGTGGTCTAGTGTGGTCTAGTGGAGTAGTGGCACAAAGTGACTCTTTCAAAAGGAAGGTCATGTATTCAATCTCCAATGGGAGCGGTATTGAGTATTGACAGATATTACATTATAACAGAGGGGAAAAAGACTGAAATAGGACGATTATGCATCCCAATTCCCAAAATATGACGATTTTTTTTTTTGGACAAATTTGTGAAAAGTTTAGGCATGTCCCAGTTCTTTTTTTATTTTTTTTTCCGTTTCCAAAGACGCAAATGGGAGTTGCGTCTTTGGTATTGTATACGTCAAACACATTAGGTAAATGCGTTTGACGTATATTATTGGTATATGGTAAAACGCATGTACGAGATGCGTTTGACGTATTATACGTCAAACGCATCTCGTACATGCGTTGTCCTCGCCGGGGGATGCAAGGGTCCAGGGTGGGCTGTTCGATGGGACTATTGATGGCTGGGCCTGCGCAGCAAAAATGCAAGTGGGACTTGCGTTTTGACCCGCTGACAGCCTGGTCAAAACCCAAATCCCACTTGCATTTTGCTGCACAGGCCCGACCATCAATAGTCCCATCCAACAATGAAACTATGTGTTGTTTCCATTCCATTATCAACTTCAACAATTCTTTCCTGCAAAATGTTTAGCCTTCACGACACTTAAGATCACTTATTAGAGTATGGCAATAAAGGCTATTCTAACCAATCAATGCCAACTAGCAATTAGATCATTTATATCTACTCGACATTGATATTAAATGCCAGAATACAAATTACAGGGAGGAAATATGCATTATGAGGTCTGTAGAAAATATAACACATAAGAAAATCCATATTGCTGAAGTAAAAGGGTAACTACCTTAGCATCATTATTATCCTTTGCCAAAATGTAGAGCACCTGAAGAACTAGATTTCTTATCTCTCGACTTTTTACCCCGAGAAGCTTAATTAGACTAGATAATGTTATATATGTGTGTGTGTGTCTGTTTATATTATATATATATATATATATATATATATATATATATATATATACTTAAAGTCTTACCTTCTATTTTTCTTCTTTCTCCTCATAAAAAATGATAATATATAAACAAGTTCGCAGACCTTGATTTGAAATTCAATACTGTTAAAGTGTTGCATATTGCCTTTCTTTTGTATCAAACTGAAGATATACACTATAATTTCACTCAATTTGTAACTGTATTTATAGTAAAATCGATAACATCTACAGCCATGTACAAATACATATCAACATTGTTGGATGGGACTATTAATGGCCGGGCCTGCGCAGCAAAAATGCAAGTGAGATTTGCATTTTGACCAGGCTGTCAGCTAGTCAAAACGCAAGTCCCACTTGCATTTTTGCTGCGCAGGCCCAGCCATCAGTAGTCCCATCGAACAGCCCACCCCGGACTCTTGCATCCCCCGGCGAGGACAACGCATGTACGAGATGCGTTTGACGTATTATACGTCAAACGCATCTCGTACATGCGTTTTACCATATACCAATAATATACGTCAAACGCATTTACCTAATGCGTTTGAAGTATACAATACCAAAGACGCAACTCCCATTTGCGTCTTTGGAAACGAAAAAAAAAATAAAAAAAGAAATGGGACATGCCTAAAACGCATGTCCCAAGTGAACTTTTCACAAATTTGTCCAAAAAAAAAAAATCGTCATATTTTGAGAATTCGGATGCATAATCGTCCTATTTCAGTCAACCACCCTATAACAGAGTAGTAGTACTCAATAAATAAATAAATAATACACAAATCTTGATCGATCAAGAGTAGTTACTATATTTCAATTACAATCTGTATGCGTATAGTTCACCTACTAACAACCCAGCATATGCATGTTGAGTATGGAGTATAGGAGCAAGTTGATTCAGCTGAAAGAATGTATGTCTACTTGAACAATATCACATTATATTAATGCTATTGAATTCCTTGGGTACCATGTATATCATCACTCCCCATCCACAGAAACAATATTTCTTTCAATTAAAAATGGCTATTGTCCTTTTGGCACCTCTAAACTCCAAATAAATATTGGTAGTAATTACTAATTAGTATACTAGTTAAATAGTAAATACGTAACACATGCAATTTGTAATGTGATATTAGTCTTTTAGATTATATATGCATAATAGTATTGTCCCGTGCGATGCACGGACTAAATATTAAAGATTTGTTTGTAATATTAGAATAGGTAAAAAAAAATGTTTTTAATAATGGTATTTGAAGTACAGAAGAAGAAAACATGAACTACAATTTAATTGTTTAAAATTACATTTTTATTAAGTATATGGCAAAATAATTATGATATTGTATTTACAATATTTAATTTAATAATTGAAAATAGTATGATACAAAAAGTTACTATTAATAATCGCAGCTAGCGGTATACATATTTGATCTTGAGTAAGTCTACTCCTAGTATGCTACCCATGCGATGCACGGAATGAATATTGGACAACATTATAATAATATTATTTTTTAAAAAATACATAACTTAATATCAACATAGTTGCAATTCATATTCATATATATATATATATATATATATATATATATATATATATATATATATATATATATATATATATATATATATATATATGCACACACACTATATGGTCTTGAGAAAATTAAATGTTGTTAATACCAACATTTAACCATTAATATCAACATTTAATTTTCACAAGACCATATGGCTTTATTATAATTATTAAGATTAAGATTATATATTATATATTTTAAAAATATATGGGCAGGACTGGCTGGCCAGACTTAAAATTAAAATCCGGACCTCAATCACGAGCTGAATTATCTCAAGGGAAGGAACTATTGGACAAATTATATTGTGCACCGCGGTGCATAATCGATTATGCACCGCGCATCAAAACAACGTCGTTTTGTTTAATGAAAAGAAACGGCATTCGTTTCGCGCCGTTCCGTAAAAAGTAACTCTGTTATTCAGTTTCATTTTGTATACACTGCAGTTTCAATTCAACACAACTACAGTTTCATTCGATATTTATAGACTCAAATATGTGAAAATGTTATTTAATTTTATTTTAGGAAAAATGGCAGTTTTCCCCCCTTAATTATATGCTTATAGCACTTTTTCCCTCTAAGTTATTCATGCATCCACATTTGCCCCCTTAATTGTTATAAAAGTGGTGATTCCCCCCCCCCCCCCCCCCCCCCCTTAATATATAAAATGGACATTTGACCCTTAAAATAAATATTTTATTTATTTCTCTTCTTCAACAAATTATTGCTTATACATAGGGATAACCGGGGTTCGGTTTGAACTGAACCGAACACTATAACAATCAAATCAAAATTTTTCGGTTATGATTCAAAACATAACCCAATATTTGGGTTTCCGTTTATTAAAATCGTAAACTAGAAAAAAAATGGATTATGAACCGTGAACTGGAGGTTCAAATCGGAACAAATCAGTTTCTTTTAAAATTTTATTTTTTATTTTTAAAATATTCTAAATTCAACAATTAATGTATTTTATTTTGTCAAATCGTGGTTATAATTTGTTGGAAAGAAAAATAAATGAAATATTTATTTTAAGGGTAAATATGTCCATTTAACATATCAGGGGTGAAAAACTACCACTTAAATAACTTAGGGGGAAAAAGTGCTATAAGTATATGTTAGCCATATTAATATTATTCTTATTAATTGTTATGTTTGACTAGCTTTGTAATAGGCTATGTTTAGGGTTTCCCTGTTAGATAGGATTATCTTACGCTAGTTGTTATGGTCTTTAACAGTGTAACTCCTATCCTGTTTGAATTCAATAATCTTCAGTTATCTCATTTGGTATCAGATAGACCAGGCCTGCTCTCTCTCTCTCTCCTCTCCTCCCCGCAACAACCCCGATCTCCTCCCTTAACCCACCGGCCAAACACCACTCCTTACCCACCATGTCTACCAATTCGTCGTGGTGATGGGCGTGGTGGCTCGAACGGTCAGGCACGCGGCAATCATGGCCGTGGTCGGAATGGGCAGAACAGGGGCCGTGGTGGCCGTGGCGGAGCTCCTCGCTGTCAAATTTGCAGGGCACAAGGGCATACTGCTATTTACTACTATAAACGGTATGCTCAACCACCGGCTCAAGCTAACATGGTGGTGCCCGGTGAGGATGCGTCGGCTACTGCTTCAACCGTCGGGTGGTTCCCGGTCACCGGAGCGTCGGCCCATGCCACGCCTGATCCGTCTATGTTGACACAATCGGAAGACTATAACAGAGGGGATGTCCTCTGTGTTGGTAACGACGCAGGTTTGATAATTTCACGCGTTGGTCATGCATCTGTATATTCCGAGTCAAAACCTTTACACTTGTCTAACGTGCTTTATGTTCCTGAATTTTCTGTTCCGTTATTGTCTGTGCACCGGTTTACGAATGATAACAACGTGCTTTTTGAATTTCACAAAAACTGTTTTATTGTGAAGGATTCAATCACCAAGGCGGTGCTGCTTAGGGGTCCTACGTCGGGCGGCTTATACCGGCTGTCGGTCTCCCAGTCTCATTTCGCGTATTTAACTTCCCGTACCACTCCTGCAGTTTGGCATAGTAGGTTGGGCCACCCGCATGCACACGTTCAAAACCATGTGTTAAAGTCGTGCCCGGTCACACCAAATAAAGTCAAATCATCGGGGTCATGCGCTTCGTGTCATCTTGGCAAAGCTTCCCGCTTTCCTTTAGATAGGGTTTCGTTTTGTAGTGAAAATGTATTAGATTTACTATATACCGACATTTGGGGCCCAGCTCCTATAATCTCGGCTAGTGAATTTAGATACTTTTTGCTATTTGTCAATGGTTGTTCGCGATTTTGTTGGTTTTATCCCTTACGGGTAAAATCTGATATATATAAAATTTTCGAGTCGTTCAGAGTCATGGTAGAACGCCAATTTTCGCGTTCTATCAAGTCGATCCAGTCAGATTTAGGCGGAGAATACCACAAGTTGCATCATACCTTTACCCAACTTGGCATTATTCACCGTCAATCCTATGCGTACACGCACGAACAAAATGGTAGAGTTGAACGCAAAAATAGGCATATTGTTGAAACCGGGTTAAGCTTGATGGCTGAAGGGTCAGTTCCACAACAATATTGGGACTACGCCTTTGAAACAGCCACCTGTCTAATAAACTACCTACCCACATCAGCTCTAAATTTTGACACCCCATACACGCGTCTACATAAAAATCCACCTCCATACACGTTTCTTCGAGTGTTTGGGTGCCGGTGTTACCCTTATCTAAGGCCTTATAATCGGCACAAGATAGAGTACCGCTCGGCACCTTGTGTATTCTTAGGGTATCCACCGTCCTTTAGAGGATACAGATGCATGGTTCTAACAAGTGGAAAGATCTATATCTGCCGCCATGTGCGTTTTGATGAGTCTGTTTTCCCATTTGCAGACTTAAATTTGCAGGCCGCGGCATCAACAGTCTCATGTCCAGTACCATGGGCAGCTGGGCCAATCATATCTCCAATCCAGGATACTCCACCGGCACCGGTTCTGCCGGATCACCAAGGGTATGAACACCCGCCTAGTCCTATACAGTTGGCTCAGGAACCTGCTCCCTTGGCCATTCAGGGCCCCGCTAAACCACGATGAGTCAAGACTCGGGTGCGTGCGGCTCCGACAGAGGCTCACAGCCATGTTATGCGACTCAGGCACATGACTCGGGGTTCGGGCGAACAATTTCATGCTCTAAGTGTCACAACTGATCCAACCTGTTATTCTCAGGCTGTTGGGCATCCACAGTGGTGGGATGCTATGGATCAGGAGTTCAATGCCTTATTACACAATAATACTTGGAGTCTTGTTCCAGCAGAGCCACAGATGAATATCATCGACTGCAAGTGGGTGTTTCGCACCAAACGCACTGCGGATGGTGCGGTCGAACGGTACAAGGCTCGTCTGGTTGCGAAAGGCTTCAACCAGGTTGCTGGTGAAGACTTTTTTGACACCTTTAGCCCTGTGGTCAAACCGACTACAGTCATGCTTCTGTTTTCTCTGGCCGTGACGAATGCTTGGACTCTACGACAACTAGATGTCCACAACGCTTTTTTAAACGGTCACTTAGCTGAAACGGTTTATATGAAGCAACCATCGGGGTATGAAGATCCTACACACCCAGATCATGTGTGCCATCTTCAGCGCTCGTTATATGGTCTTAAACAAGCTCCCCGGGCATGGTTCAAAAGATTGCATGATTTTCTAATCTCTGTAGGTTTTTTGGCGTCAAAGACTGATGTTTCACTTTTCTACTACACTACGGGTACATCTCGGGTGTACTTATTGGTCTACGTCGACGACATTATAATGATGGGGAATGATCTGATTCTTATCACTACGCTTCTGCAAAGACTGTCCACGACCTTTAAAATACGAGACCTTGGGACACCTGGTTTCTTCCTTGGTATTGAGACAATTAAGCTCGATGCAGGGTTCATGCTCTCTCAATGCCACTATATGAAGGATATTCTGGATCGCGCCGGCATGACAGATTGTAAGCCTCACGCCACTCCGGCGGCTGTCAATCAACCTGTATCTCCGTCTGATGAGTTGTATGGCAACCCGACTCAGTATTGACGCATTGTTGGTGCTCTGCAGTACTTAACTATCACTTGCCCAGATTTGGCATTTGCTGTCAACCGTCTGTGTCAGTTCATGCACTCCCCGACTGTTGATCATTGGGTCCTGTTAAAGCGTGTAGTTCGTTACATCAAAGGCACTCTAGACTACGGCTTGCGGCTCGCCGTCTCCAACACCTCCACTATTCATACATTCTCCGACTCGGACTGGGCCGGATGTCCTCAAGACAGGAAAAGCACAAGCGGCTACGCTGTTTTTCTGGGGTGCAATCTGGCTTCTTGGCTATCCAGGAAGCAGCGCACGGTAGCTCGATCGTCAACTGAAGCGGAATACAAGGCTCTTGCAGACGACTCTGCTGAGGTCACCTGGATCGTGTCATTACTCCGTGAGCTTGGTCTACATTCCGGCCACCCGACTACTCTCTGGTGCGACAACCTTGGTGCCACCTACCTGTGTGCCAATCTAGTTTTTCATGCCAGGACCAAGCATGTAGAAATTGACTTCCACTTCGTACGTGACAAGGTAGCCTCTGGTCAGATGGTGGTCAATTTTGTGTCTACAAAGGACCAGCTAGCAGACATCTTCACAAAACCGCTTCCCGAGCCGCGGTTTGCTCTACTTCGTGACAAGCTCAATGTGGTAGCTCACCACCCTTGTGCTTGAGGGGGTGTGTTAGCCACATTAATATTATTCTTATTAATTGTTATGTTTAACTAGCTTTGTAATAGGTTATGTTTATGGTTTCCCTGTTAGATAGGATTATCTTACGCTAGTTGTTATAGTCTTTAACAGTGTAACTCATCGTATATAACACAGGGGAAAAAAGTGTCATTTTCCCTTTATTTTATATACACTATAGTTTTATTAAAACACGACTACATGATCATTTTGATATAATTACAGCTTCATTGTACAATATACACTCAAATATATGAAATGTTATTCTGTTTTATTTTATATACACTGCAGTTTCATTTCACCACAACTACGGTATCATTTTGATATAACTGCAGTTTCATTTGATAATATAAAAATAATACGTGAGGCAGTGTCGGTTTAAATACACTGTAGTGTCAGTTGATAATTAACATACAAAAAAACACGCGCTCCGTTAATATTAACGACGCGCCGTTTCTTTACTTAAAGAAACGGCGCCGTTTTAACCGCGGTCCACGATATAACGACCCGAACTACTGAGTTGTTACGATGGACCAGGGTCCACCTTGCAAGGTGGACCGCTGGTCCTAAACGACATATACATTGTGTATTTTCAGTCGTAAGTCAAAACACATAACAACTGTAGAAATATCGTGTGATTGCAGTATTTGAAAAGAACTTGTTAATACAAAACAAGGTAATTAAATATATGTTAATATTGTGTGTTCGTAGCATATAAATTATGAATTTTTAAAAGATAATTATGAACATTTAGACCCATATCCACCTTACACGGAACTACTATACAAGCATATATACCTGGAGATGCAGGAGAGTCTGAACAAGTATCAAATGTATAAGGCATGTTGGGACAATAACAAGTAGTTTGATTGGTGACCATGTCAATTCCACACCTTCCCTTAGATTTAGTGCAAACATCACATGCCTTACTATCCATCTTCCATCTAATCTCCTGCCCCTCTTTAAGTGTTTTCATTAAAAGCGTCGAATCAATAACCCCTCCATATCCAGCACCAACCACTGGCACTGGAACTGAAACTATCACGCTACTGCTACAATTTACACGAACCCCAGCTCCTGCTGGCAATACATAAGCATCATTGCTATCCCCACAAGGAATAGTGCCTATCCCTGGAATATTATTAATTCCTTCATGGCAACCATATAGAAAGGTGAGGTTTATGTAGCTGGTAGTATATTCAAAGAGTGAGTTATCCAGACTGGTGTTAAATTCTTGGGGGCAATTTCCTTCCATCATATCTTCTCTGACTATCTTCATTGTTTTTGAAGCCTGATTGATTTCCAAGACACGATATGTCTTGTTCATGATATCAATGGTTGTGTTCCCCTCATTGCAGGACAGCTCAAAACCAGGATGACCACAGTACGGAGAACCATTGTAGCTGCGAAAAGGATATCCCACATCACTGATATCACCACAGTTGAACATATTTCCACAGCCCCGATATACAATTCCATCTGGAGAATACGTATTGTTTGAGCCGCGGGGAAGTTCAGGCATTAGGATCAAGAATTGCAGGATGGGAAAGAGAGGGCTAAAAGAGAACCACCCAAAGCTTCGGGAATTCATATGCGGAAAGTTACAGTGAATTGAAGGGGTAAAGTTGCATTGTTTAATTGGAAAATAAACAAATGCTAAATATGTAGTTTTTAGAGATAGATGAGAGAAACAGAGTTAGGAAAGAGATTGAGGAGATTGATAATCATGTTAATATATATGTTAGGTGGCGAATCACTTTCCTGGTAGACTTTGTATAAATTGTGTTCAGTTGAAAGAGTCTCATATTAAATTTATAGGAAATGTCACTTCCAAGAAATTTAATATGACACTCTTTCAATTGAAAATAACTCTTCCTATAATTTTATTTTTTTTTGAAAACTCCTATAAATTTAATATGACACTCTTTCAATTGAAAATGGGAGGCCATGGATTCGAGTCCTAGTGGGGTAGTATTGATTCTTTGTGTTTCAATATATTGAGAAAGTAGATATGAACAAATACTACATTCTAACAGAGTAAATAGTACTAAAAAAAAAAAAAAAAAAAAAAAATTAGGAAGTGAGTCAGGTGACTGATGAAAATGTAAAAACAAAGCCTCTTATGGTGGAGAGAGGTGAGAGGAGAGATTTTTCAAAAAATAAAATAAAATTGCTAGGGTACTGCAAGATACAATTCTTGAGAAGCAACAAAAAAAAAAAAAAAAATACACAGTTTCGCCTGTCATTTAATTGATCTGAGTGTCTGACTAATAAGCTAATTTGGCTAGTTGATCTGTTTGGTCTCTTCCACCTGTTTGAATAAATGCATAAACTCCGATCCACCCTACAATTCAGCTGTCCTCACCACAATCTATTTACTTCTGCTCTCCTTCTCATTTAACATACCATAACCTAATCATTACCATACCTGATACCTACACAATTATATATACTAAGACTAACCATACTGATCAGGAGACAACAGTATCTACATATTGTAATTAAAAAAATTTATATTACATGGCTTCATTATTTAATGGATGATTTCAACTCTAATACTCTGTATGAGAGTTATGAATATTTATCGAATTTGTTCTAACATACTTAAAATCCTTCATTTGATACATTATGGACCCTTTCCTGCCTCAGATTTCTGTGGTAACTGATGAAGTAGAGGACTGCTGAGGAAACTCATCAGTTGGAGGACAGAAATGTGGTTTTGGTGGGATCTGCAAGGAGTCGAAGCTTCCCTCCAACATCTCAACCGCTTTTCTTATGGAAGGGCGGTCTGCTGGATTCGTTTGGATGCACCACAAACTAACCAAGATCATCTTCATTGCCATTTCTTTATCCTCCTCATCTGTGATGCCTTCAAGACTGAAATCTAACCCTTGCTCCAGATGCTCATATATCCAATTCGGGAAATATAAGTCACTCGTCTGACCAACGTGTACGTTCTCCCTTACTCCCACCATGTCGATAACTGTCATGCCATAACTATAAACATCAGACTTGTGTGAGACATTTCCAATGCTTCCGAAGATAACTTCTGGAGCAATGTATCCTATTGTTCCTCTAACACCACATTCTGATAGCGATACAATGCTCCCCTCTTTCTTGCACAATTTTGCCAGGCCGAAATCTGAGATTTTGGGGGTGAAATCCTTGTCCAACAGAATGTTATTAGGCTTAATGTCAAAGTGCATGATTCTTGTTTTACACCCTTTGTGCAGATATTCTAGTCCTCGACCAATGCCAATTGCAATCTGGTACAATGTCTTCCACGCCAGACAACTCATATTTTGTAACCCCTTGTTGCCTATGTACTTGTCTAACGATCCATTAGGCATGAATTCATAGACCAAAGCTCTTTTCTTCTGGTAACAGAACCCCATAAGAGTAACAATGTTCACATGGGAAGTTCGACTTATGCTAGCAACCTCATTTATGAAATCTTCTCCAGTCCCCTTTGTGTTCAATAGCTTCACAGCTACTGGGCATCCATCAGGCAGTTTTCCTTTGTATACACTACCAAAACCTCCTTCACCTATTTTGTCTTTGAATGAATTGGTCATTTTCTTTATATCCAAATAAGTATATACCTTGGTAGCATTGCATCCATTAGTCCTTATGAATGCTTCAATTTTTTTTAGGCTTTCATCATCACTCTTCCTTTTGCAGAAGCGGATTATATACGTTAAAGTTATTATTGTTCCGAAGATGCCAAGCGGATAAACTGCATATATATAAAGGTTGAAATTAGGGTTACATTCTAAAAGTAAATGCTGGTAGCACATCTAATGCTAGTAGATCAGAGCATCAGATTATCAAGAAAGATGATGTGATGGAAATCAATGGCGGTTACTTTACCTAGATGTATTGGGAAGTTATGAAATGTTGGGAAAATAAATTTTGAATAGCCGTCTGCAAGATGAAATAGATGTTAAAATGTTATGCAAAACTGTAATACACAAATATAGGTTGTTATATTGTGGAGCATGGTCCACACAACTGGATGAATCATGGTCTCAAAATGGCGTCGTTTCTTTTAAGTAAAGAAAGTTATTATATTTAAACAAATCTCGTATTTATGTGTATTCATAACAAAATGAAATTACAACATATCTAAAATGAAACAGTATCACATATTGTGTTTATATTATCAAATGAAACTATAATTGAATTGAAATGATACTTTAGCTATGTTGAAATGGAACTTCAATATGTATAAAATGAAACTGAATAACATGTCTCACATATTGAGTGTATATTGTCAAATAGAATTGTAGTTGAATAGAAATGATACTTTAGTTTTGTTGAAATAAAACTACAGTATGTATAAAAAAAGAAACGGAATAGCATGTCTCATATATTGAGTGTATATTGTCAAATTGAACTCTAATTATATCAAAATGATATTGTGATGGTGTTGTAATGAAACTACATTGTATATAAAATGAAATTGAATAACATTTTCACATATTTTAGTATATATTGTCCAATGAAACCATAGTTGAATCAAAATTATAATTTAGTGGTGTTGTAATAAGATTACAATGTATATAAAATGAAATTCAATAACAAATAGGACTATTGTATGTATAATGTCGAATGAAACTGTAGTTGTGCTCACTGTTGCAAAAAATCAGTCTAGGCGCCAGGCACCCCTTGACCGTGGTGATTTCCCCCCTAGGCACCCGCCTAGCGCCTAACTTGGCCGATTAAACCGCCTAGCGCCTAACTCGACCGAGTTAACTAGTCCATTTCGATCGAGTTAGCTGAGTTAACCCAGTCGGCTCAGCCTTGCTAATCTTTTTGCATTATATATATATATATATATATATATATATATATATATATATATATATATATATATATATATAACCTGGAGGGTGTGGTTGAGTGGATGAGACTCATTCATCCTTAACCAAAGGTCAAGGATTTGATTCTTGATTTTGGGAATGGAGTCCACGGTGGAAACCAATTACGCGAAAAAGGTGCCTTTCCATTTATAAAAAGAAACGACACCGTTTTGAACCATGTTCCACATTAAAATTTGCCCACAAATCTATAGTGGGCTTCACACGCTTGATCGGGAAGAAATATGTAATTACTTTCTTTAATGCATTCTGTATACGTATAGTTCACCAAACTACCCAGAAATTCAGGATGATTACTTACCTTGATCATCTTTCATATTATTGCCAAGCAATTTTCTAGATTCTGCAAGATGAAATATATGTTAAAATGTTATGCAAAACAGTAATACACAAATCTATAGTGGCTCTCACGCTTGATCAGGAAGAAATTATTTTAATTATATTCTGTATACGTATAGTTCACCAAACAACCCAAAATGTTTTGTATGGAAATTAAAGATGGTTACTTTACCAAAATGAAATTTCACACCAGTGCTAAGCCCCTTTTTATATTCTGCAAGAGGAAATACATGTTAAAAATGTTATGCAAAATAGTAATAAACAAATCTATCTTAATTAAAATAAAAAATCATATGAAAATAGATACACATCATTCATTAAATGTTATGCAAAATACTGAAATAGTATTACATAAAAAAATATATATATATATATAGTACTCCACATCGTTATTAAATGTCATGAAAAGTTAAAAATTATGCAAAATTAATGTGGCAAATACACTAAGGTATATGAATGAATCTAAGTTGACTATAGAATACGAGTATGTAGGTTCAGGCAACTGTGACCGGGAGTCGGATGTTCCCAAGCAATTCAAGTACAGATTAGGTGAAAGTCTAATTAAAAGTCACCCTATCTTCCCCCAGGCATGGAATGCGCCTTATATATAAAGGGTCCAGGGCTCGCCATGCATGTGAGCCACGTGTGGTTGAATTATTATTGTGAAAGTCCAAAAGAACCCCCACCCCCCAAGGCATTGAATTATTACTGGACATCCATCAGCAACTACAAGTTAGTTTTATATATTGGGAGAAGTTAATTATATATATATATATATATATCGATAATTGTGTTAACCGTTATATTGAATTATTATTAACTACGATGTATATCTTTATAATTATAACATTATTAATAATAAAACAAAAGTTAGTTAAAAATAAAATAATTAATAATATCACAATGATAATAATAAATTTTAATAATAAATATTTTAATAATAAATAGTTAACTTACCAAATACATTTTTATAACTGGTAAATACTATCAGCTAGTGCAAAAAAAAAAAAAAAAAAAAAAAAAAAAAAAAACTATTAACTGATTAAGCCAACTAACACAATCACTTATCAACTAAACCAATAACTTCATGCCTTTAGTTAACGGCTAATCGTCAAACACCCTTTAGTTGTATATTTTCTAGATTTCATGATATCCAAAAAGTTCACTTTGTTGCTAGTTTATAAAACGTGGAGGAAAATCTAGTCATGTTGGGCTGACCATTATTGCAAATTAAATTAATGTGATTTCACCTTCATTTTGTCTAGTAAATTCTGTTCTGATGAACCAGTCAGTTGAGTTCAAACTTCTCTCCAAATTAAAAATGAAAACACCATTTGTTCCATTGCCGTTTAATGGAAGAAGTCTCTAGAATAATCGTTGCAAGATTTTTCCTAATAATATATATGTTATATATTATATATTAGAGCTAAGTGGTGCAAGTTGACTAGACTTATTAACCAGTTTGGTTGGATTAAATGGCTAGATGTTGTTATTCAACCAGATTATGTGTCTAATATTGGATTGATGAGATACTGGTTATTTATTATATAGCATTTTAGCACATCCAGTTACGTTACTCATACTAATAGTACACCCCAATACACCATCTGTGGTTTTGAGTTAAGTATGAGACAATAATAACTACCGGTATACCATTTAACAGGCAACATAACAAGATATCAATAAAAGACCACTGCACAACAAGACATCAACTGTGGCTATCAACACTGTTTCGCTTTCCTTTCTATTAGGTTAGATTATTGTTATGGAATATATATAATATATGGAATCTCTATAGATTAGGTAGGTAGTTAGACATATTAAAACTTGTTTCTATTCCAAGACTTCTAACATGTATTTATAGAGTTTTGTATTCTGTTTCTATATGTGAGATTTATACACTTTTTATTTACTTTCATACAATATATATTTTCTCATTCCTTATTCTTCATCTCTGTTTCGAAGAGTGGTTGTTATTTTCTACCCGTCAGGCATTTAGATCTTTCAAATTCAACAATTATTATTTAGTCCCGTTAGATTATTTGTCTAATATATGTAGTATATGAAAATTAATGAAATGTTTTATAATAAGGTGTGAAAGAGTAGAGAGATAGCGAAAAGGGAAGGGAGAATACCATTGCTATGAGGATTACTGTAGGTTGACGAAGAAGAAGTTCCATTAGGGCAGTAGCAAACAAATTGTGTTGAAATGCCATTGGAACCGCATCGTCCCCCTGACCTCATGCACTCCTCGCACAAGCTATTATTTGCTTTCCACTCCACCAAAAAACCACCACCCGCAGATGTTCTTAGAAGGTCCTCAGAAACAAGGGAAGCATTACCTAAAGCCTCAAAAGCTCCTTGAGTGACAGTATTAATATTGCTTAACAGATCATCTCGGGCAATAGTGGCCGTCTGCGCCGGCCGGTTGCTGGTATTAACAACTCTGTATTTCACCGATTGGATTGTGATTTCCGGCAAGTCTTTACTGCAGTCCAGCTCAAAGCTTGGATGGCCGCAGTAGACCGGCCGGCTCCCTCCCCAGAAAGGGTAGCCTATGTTTTCAATATTGGCGCAGCTGAATGCCTCACCACACCTCACATACACATCAAGACAGAAATTTGCAGGCGTGTGGATGAAGATGAGGAGTGTAATGAGTGAGAGCAATGATTTAAGACTAAGATTGGAATCCATATTGGCCGGGTGATCATGAAGCATTGCGGTTTAGCTACATATGTGCTGTTTAACTGCTAAGAAACTTCAACTCTTGACTTTTAGTTTGCTTATGTCAGATTTTTGGACTTGGTATTTACAGTAGTTACGTTGGTAATAGTGACATAGAGCAGACCCTGTAAATTACTGCATATTATTTAGATACTAGTTGGCTTAGTCGTGTGCACGCGTTTTGGGCAAAACTTCATGTCCAACAATCAATTAGTCTGTTCTAATTTTTAAATAATATATATAATTGTTATATGAAAAAATATAAGTCCAAAATGATATTAATCTTAAAAAATATTGCTTGGGGATAGAAATCATCTAAGTAAAGATTTGATTATTTCATCTTCCTTTTCAACTCTTGAACCTTGGTAGTAGGTGAAGGAGCATGAGAAGAACTTGCATGGTGAAGGAGCATGAGAAGAGCTTGCATGGGAGTGGAAGAAACATATGGTTCATCTTAATGGGTGGCAACCTGCAACCTCAACCTTAGGCAACCCCAAAGCCACTAAGGATAACTATGGGAATTTTTATTTTTTATGCTATATATATATATAAGCTTTGCTACATAAAATGAAAGGATTAAATAATATAATGTACATTGAGAACCACGGTCAAATTTCACTGCCACAAATACAGGTTAAACTCTACCAGAAAAATATATTTTCCAATGAAAGCCAAGCAGTGAACAACACAAAAACACAGTCAGATTAGACGGTAATAAATACGAGTAACAACTTTAAGGAAAAGCCACCCTATTGTTACAGCAAAAAAATTAAAACAGCCATAAAAATCTTAAATTAATAGATATTAAGAATGTTGACATAAAGGCCATCAAGAACTGGGATAGGAAAATTCTAAAAGTTTTGCACTATCTCCACATTCACAATCAGTAACACAAGCGACAAAATCGCAGTAATACTCAATGCCGACCGCATCATTTACTCCTGGCTGACCTGTTCCTGTTCGTCATCAAATTAAATAGGGAAAAAGGGTCAAATAGGCTCTCAAACTTTTGTTAAAAAAGTCAATTAGACCCTCCAACTTTTTAAAGGTGCAATTACACCCATGAACATTTTAGTGCAATGATGCCCAAATACAGGTAAATAACCTGCTATCATAGGTCATTGAAGATTCGGCTTAATTCCGACGTATTTTCCGGCGATCGGTAGAGAAGGCAACCCAAATTTGGGTTGAATTGCATCTCTAATATATATTAGACGGTTTCATTATTTAATGGATGATTTCAGCTCTAATACTCTGTATGAGAGTTATGAATATTTATCAAATTTGTTCTTACATGACAAAACAGTGTTTTACTTTGTTGAAAACAGCAGGTTGGCAGTATTATTTAGATATTATGTCATAAGATCCCATACTTAAAATCCTCATTTGATACATTATCGACCCTTTCTTGCATCAAATTTCTGTGGTAACTGATGATGATGTAGAGAACAGCTGAGGGAACTCCGTTGGAGGACAGAAAACTGGTTTGGGTGGAATCTGCAAGGAGCCAATGCTTCCCTCCAACATCTCCACCACTCTTCTTATGGAAGGGCGGTCTGCTGGATTTGTTTGGATGCACCACAAACTAACCAATATCATCTTCATTGCCATTTCTTTATCCTCCTCATCTATGATGCCTTCAAGACTGAAATCTAATCCTTGCTCCAGATGCTCATATATCCAATTCGGGAAATATAAGTCACTCGTTTGAGCCGCGTTTACGTTCTCCCTTACTCCCACCATGTCAATAACGGTCATGCCATAACTATAAACATCAGACTTGTGTGAGACATTTCCAATGCTTCCGAAGATAACTTCTGGAGCAATGTATCCTATTGTTCCTCTAACACCACACGCTGATAGCGATACAATGCTCTGCTCTTTCTTGCACAGTTTTGCCAGGCCGAAATCTGAGATTTTGGGGGTGAAATCCTTGTCCAAAAGAATGTTGTTAGGCTTAATGTCAAAGTGCATGATTCTTGTGTTACACCCTCTATGCAGATATTCTAGTCCTCGAGCAATGCCAATTGCAATCTGGTACAACGTCTTCCACTCCAGACAACTCATATTTTGTGACCCCTTGTTGCCTATGTACTTGTCTAATGATCCATTGGGCATGAATTCATAGACCAAAGCTCTTTTCTTCTGGTAACAGAACCCTACAAGAGTAACTATGTTCACGTGGGAAGTTCGACAAATGCTAGCAACTTCATTTATGAAGTCGTCTCCAGTCCCCTTTGTGTCGGTCAATAGCTTCACAGCTACTGGGTTTCCATCAGGCAGTTTTCCTTTGTATACACTACCAAAACCTCCTTCACCTATTTTGTCTTTGAATGAATTGGTCATTTTCTTTATATCCAAATAAGTATATACCTTGGTAGCATTGCATCCATTAGTCCTTATGAATGCTTCAATTCTTTCTATGCTTTCATCACTCTTCCTTTTGCAGCAGCGGATTATAAGCACCAGGGCCGGCCCTGGAGCAAGGGCAGGCTGGGCCCTTGCCCAGGGCCCATGCTTGGTGGGGGCCCACACTCCCTTCCCTCTCATTTATATATATTGTATACATGTACAAGTAAATAATATACATATAATTTAATTGAAGTTGAAGTAGCATAGTTGGTAGGTTACTTAATAATTAGTATATATGTTATAAATAAAGGTCAAGGGGTCAATTCTTATTACTAACATTTTTTAATAAAGATCTCTAACATTTTAGAAAATAAAATCGTAATTTGTGAGATTTATTTTTAGATAAGTAATTTTAGTACTTATATTTAAAACATATATTTTTTTTATGAATTATCTAGTCAATGTAATATATAGAAATTTCTATTACGTGTCATTGTATTTAACTTACTCTAGAAAAACTTGATATTGATCTTACTAAAAGAAACAATATTTATAAAAATCATATCATATAAATGTAGAAGATTTGTGATTTATAATATATTTTCTATTCAAACTATTTTATCCAACTAATTATATTTCACGTTTTTTTTTTATTAATATGTGTATCGCATTTTAAAGTATTTTAATTTTTTACCTCCAATCAAAAAGATTTTTAGATCTACATCTTTATTTTTAGACCTACTATGTATGTAAAATTGTTAAAAATTGTGAATCTTATTTCAAATAATTTGAATTTAATATTTTTTTCTTTATGTATGAAAATATATCTTAACTTTAAAGGTAGGGCCTATTTTTCTTGTCCTGCCCCGAGCCTATAAAATGATAGGACCGGGCCTAATAAGCACTAAAGTTATTATTATTCCGAATATGCCAAGCGGATAATAAACTGCATATATATAAAGGTTGAAATTAGGGTTACATTCTAAATGTAAATGCTGGTAGCACATCTAATGCAAGTAGATCAGAGCATCAGATTATCAGAAGATGATGTGATGGAAATTAATGGCGGTTACTTTACCTAGATATATTGGAAAGCTACCAAATGTTGGGAGAAGAAATTTTGAATAGTCTGCAAGATGAAATACGGAGTAGATGTTAAAATGTCATGCAAAACACACAAATCACGCTTGTTATACTCTGGAACATGGTCCAAAACGGCTAAAGAAACAACAATCGTTACATTTTAACAAATTTTTGTATTTTTTTGTGTATTCATAACAAAATAAAACTATAGTATATCTAAAACAAAATTGTACCGCATATCGTGTTTATATTATCAAATAAAATTGTAATTGAATTGAAATGATACTTTATTAGTTGTGTTGAAATTAAACTGCAGTATGTATAAAATGAAATTGAATAACATGTCTCACATATTGAGTGTATATTATCAAATAGAACTATAGTTGAATAGCAATGATATTTTAGTTTTGATGAAATGAAACTACAATATGTATAAAAATAAATTGAATAACATGTCTCATATATTGAGTGTATATTGTCAAATGAAACTGTAATTATATCAAAATGATACTGTAGTTGTGTTGTAATGAAACTACAGTGTATATAAAATGAAACTGAATAACACTTTCACACATTTGAGTATATATATATTGTCCAATGAAACCATAGTTGAATTAAAATTATAATTTAGTGGTGTTGTAATAAGACTATCTATATAGTGTGCAAAATATGAAATTCAATAACATGTCTCACTGTAATAAGACTATTGTATATATAATTTCGAATGGAACTGTAATAATTGTGCTGAAATGAAACAACAATGTATATAAAATGAAACTGAATATGTTATACAAATAAAACTAATTAAATAAAACGGCACTGTTTTGGACCATAGTCCATAGTAAAATGGGCAAATTATGTGTGGACCATGGTCCACGCAATATTATGTGGACCATAACAAAAAGTATATTTTTAATATACTAAAAGTACATTATTTTTGTACTGAATGTACATTATTTTTGTATTGAATGTACATTATTTTATAGTAGATAAAATATGGTCCACCCAATTTCTTGAGTAAAATGTGCTCACAAATCTATACTGGGCTTCACACGCTTGATCAGGAGGAAATCTGTAATTACTTTATTTAATGCATTCTGTATACGTATAGTTCACCAAAACACCCAGAAATTAAAGATGGTTACTTACCTTGATCGTCTTTCACATTAATGGCAAGCAATTTTCTAGATTCTGCAAGATGAAATATATGTTACAGTGTTATGCAAAACAGTAATATACAAATCTGTAGTGGCTCTCACGCTTGATCAGGAAGAAATTATTTTAATTATATTCTGTATACGTATAGTTCACCAAACAACCCAAAATGTTTTGTATGGAAATTAAAGATGGTTACTTTACCAAAAGGAAATTTCACACCAGTGCTAAGCCCTTTTTTAGATTCTGCAAGAGGAAATACATGTTAAAATTGTTATGCAAAGTAATACACAAATCTATCTTAATTTAAAAAAAAAAAATCATATGAAAATAGATATACATCATTCATTAAATGGTATGCAAAATATAGTACTGTATTACACAAAAAAATAGTATTCCACAAATGTCATGAAAATTTAATGTTATGCAAAATTAATGTGATAAATACACTAAGGTATATGTTCTCGAGCAAGTACAGGTTAGGTGAAAGTCCAAAAGTCTCCTCCCCAAAGGCATTGAATGTGCCTTATATATAGAGGGTTGAAGGGGACACATGTCGGGGGCTCGGCATGTGAGTTACGTGTAGTGCATGCATTGAGGTGGTCAGAGGCATTGCTGGTTTGCCCACGCGTAAAGATATTATTGACACGCTCGTTTCTAATGTGATCGAGTAGAGTCTCATTAACTGTGCTTGTCTTCTAGTCTAAAAGGTCTCACGAGCTCAGGGCGCCCGGTCCAAACAGTGGGATATGAGCTAAGTTTAAGGTATGTTGTACAGTAGCTATTATTGTAGACGGTGAAATTGCATCTCAATTTGGGTCGGGTAGGACCCGAATGGGATCGATTGGGGTAGGAAAGTGCACCCCATGGCGTACAACATATGAACCGAGCAAGTATATAGTCATACTCCCAAGGGTTATTCCCTATCAAGTAGCCCCCTTAGTCCGTGCCCCGAAACTAGCTTAGTTTTTAGGGGCTCAAACTACCAAGTTTGATCAAACCCCAGTCATAAAAGACTCTTCACTGAGTAGAAGTTGTGTGCGGCATGGGTCTACGATGGAACGTGCGGATCTCTATTCATCTCACTTCGCGTGATATGTGTCACACCCTCGACGGGTCGACTGGGATCTGTACCGAAATTTCGAATTTTCCCCGCATCCTCCACCTATAAATAGAGCATAGTGGTGGGCCATAATTACACTTCTCTTTGTGCAATCTTGAAAACTTCTCGAGTTGAACACTTAAGCAATTTGATAAGCCCAACTCAACCGAAGCTTCCAATCACGTTACCCAATAAGTCCTTGCTCTTGAATTTAGTTATTTTTTCTTATTCAATTTTAGTTCTTAGTCCGTTCGGTTAGCTTCCCATTCTAACTTTCTAAGTGTCCTCCCCTTCTAAAGGAGGATTCATGTTGGATTCGGACAACCAAAATATCTCGGTCCGGGACTATGACGACCGGCTTGGATGTAGGGCCGATCGCCAACTATTAGGTGATGATCTCTCGAGCAAAGCACGACATGTTCTCGAGACCCCACACAAATATCTCCTTGTAGCCCCTGATTGTCTATATGATTCGAGCTCGGAGGTCGGGCGAGAAGCCAATCCCCACCTTCACTCCTGGTCAGGTCGGTTGAGGTCCCACACGACCTCCTTGGTCTCCATTGAGGGATTAGATCGGGGTCGCTCTTCCTCCCATAGTGTCTTCTTAGCTATGGTGTGGACCTGGAAGTCTCTCCTCCTAATTTGAAGGCATGCCTTCAAGTAGGAGCTATGGTTGATCTTCTGGTTCTCACGGGAACTCCACCTCCCGTTGGGGTAAAGAACTTGAGGCACAAGTGTCCATGGAAATTAGGCTCATGAGGTCCTTCAAAGCATGTCGCCCTAGGATGATGTTGTGAGTGCAACTGATCTTCACTACCACGAATTTCACTTCCCACTTCCTGACATGGGATGGCGTACCGATCTCTACTACGATGTTGATAAGCCTTCCGTATTGATGGAGTCCCCAGTGAATCCGAACAACAGGGTCCTCACCTATCCCAACTGGTTGCTTGACAACTCGAGTTGGGTGAAGTGTTATTGTACATGACATTCGGTGGACAATTACGTCAACTCGACCTTGATTACTAGCACGTCTCGGTGGGGTAGGGGGCCGTATGGGAGGTCATCATTAGTGAAGGTAATGGGTTCCCTCCTCAACCTCTTCTCGTGTGGGGGTCGCACGACCTCGCCCACATAAAAGCTTCGTGCTCACTTCTTCCTTTCGACTAGTGTATCTCTGCCCTCCGATCCACCAAAGATTATGTGGATTACTTGCTTCTTCTACGGGTGCAGATTGTCTAACTCCTTTTCTTCCTCCTCAATGAGCTGATCGAGCTCCCTCGTGTACGAGCCCGAGGTGGATGGCCCAAAACCACCCACCTTCTTCCACACATTTCCTGAGCCTTGCCCTTACCCCGGCATCTTCACGAATTGCCCGAGGTAGCCTCATTGAATGAGATCCTTGATCTAGCGCTTGATGATCATGCATTCATTTGTATCATGCCCCGACTGGTGGTGGAACTGGCAATGCTTGGCAGGGTCCACTTTCGAAGATATTTTATACATTCACCAAGGTATTCCACGATCCCCATGTCCTCCACATGGTATGTATAATGATAACGAGATGCGTTAGGGGAGTTAGGTAGCATAGTAGAGTTAGTTTAGGCCCCTCGGCGTGCTTTAATCCCGATGACCTCGAGGCATGATGATTCTCTGTGGCTTGAGGTGCTTTATCTTTTTGACTTCGGCCCTTCTCCTCATCCTCCTTCCTTTGCTGATCGTTCGCGGTCGGCCTCAGCCCTAAGGGGTCTCGGGCAAGCACTTGGGCGCCCAACCGTCCCAAGTAGGATTCGGTTCGATTCAGTCGCCCTCTATCTGTTACTTGGTGCTCTCGTCGGTTTTGGCTAGTATCACCACCTCGCCTATCTAATAGTCGAGGTGAATTGACCTCCCCATCAACCTGAGCTCCTCGTGCTCGAGGAGGTCGGGTGCTCAATTCCCCATCTAACCTTGGAGGAGGCGGGGTAAAGGTGGGCACCCCTTAGACACTTCGACCCTGAGCAGAGGGGGTTGAACACCTCCTTATAGCCCCTCAACGAGGCGGGTCAACAAGGTTACAACTAGGGGTGTAAAAGAGTCGAGCGACTCGCGAGCCGCTGGGTCAAAGCTCGGCTAAAGCTCAGTCAACTTCGAGCTCGAGCCGGCTCGTTTCGTAATCGAGCCGAGCTCGAACTCAAATATTTTATGCTCGTGGCTAGTCGAGCCGCTCGCGAATCATATATATATAATTATAGCCCAGCGGCTCGGTCAACTTCGAGCTCGAGCTTTAATTTTCATTTTTGAGCTCGAGCCTATCTATTGTTTATCTAACCCGAGCTCGAGCTCGGCTAGGCACGTTTACACACCTAGTTGCAGCTTATTGAATCGCAGCCACTGCACTCCCTCTCGGAGGTCTGTGCCAAAGGTGGGGCTATGGGAGCCAACTCGGTATTGTGCGGTTGTTGTTGAATTGAGTCGATCCCAAAATCTGGGTGGCCGATAGGATTGTTATTTACGGAGACTCATTACTGCAATTCAGCCCAAAATCTGGGTGGCCGCAGTAGGCCGGCCGGGTCCCTCCCCAGAAAGGGTAGCCTGTGTTCCCCTCCCCAGAAAGGGTAGCCTGTGTTTTCAATATTGGCGCAGCTGAATGACGACTCACCGCAGCTATACTCATCATCAGGACTACTGCGATTATTTTGACAGAAATTTGCAGGCGTCTGGATCAAGATGAGGAGTGTAATGAGTGAGAGCAATGATTTAAGACTAAGATTGGGATCCATATTGGCCGGGTGTCTGCCTCTGATCATGAAGCATTGCGGTTTAGCTATCTATGTGCGGTTTAACTGCTCAGAAACTTCAACTCTTGACTTTTAGTTGTTTTTGTCAGTCAATGTCAGATTCTTTTTTGTTTGTTTGTTTAGAGCAACCATGCGAATTGTTTTTTCTTGGTTTTTGTCAACTTAAAAATTTTAGCATTGTTTTTTATTGATGTGGCTGTTTTTTCCTCATGCAAAACATACATTTTTGTTAGGATTAAAAAAAAAGAAAAAAAAAAAAAGAAGACGCGCTTGGCATGCACTGTCCGCCCCAACGTGAGTGTGCGTGTGAGCGCTTTAGAGTGGCCGATATTATGGCGATAAATGGTTGTTAGCTGATTGTGTTAATTAGAATGTATAAATAATTGTTAACATTAACTGATTGTAGAAAGGTGTTTGGTAAATGAGCTGTTAGCTAAAAGCTGTTTGATAGAAAAGTTAATTGAAAAAGCTGTTCAAAGCAGCTTTTTAATTTTTAATATTTTGGAATTGATTTTTTAATCAAATCAAACAATTAATAATGATAAAAATACTAAAACATTAAATTCTTGCATGCCATAGTATTATATATTTTAAAAATATATAGGCAGGACCGGCCGGCCAGACTTAAAATTAAAATCCAGACCTCAATCACGGGCTGAATTATCTCAAGGGAAGGAACTACTGAGTTGTTACCATGGACCCCTTGCAAGGTGAACCGTTGATCCTAAACGATGTATAAATTGTGTATTTCCAGTATTCCAATTATAAACTTTTAGAATATAAATTGTGTTCCTAAGTCAAAACACATACCAACTGTAGAAATATCGTGTAACTGCAGTATTTGAAAGAAACTTGTGAATACAAAACAAGGTAATCCGTAATCAATTATATATATGTTAACATTGTGTGTTCATAGTATACACATTATGAATTTTTAAAAGGTAAATTGTGAACTTTTAGTATGTAAATTGTAAACATTTAGACCAATAATTTGCAAGCATATATACCTGGAGGTGCAGGAGAGTCTGAACAAGTAGTTTGATTGGTGACGTTGTTAAAACCACACCTTCCCTTAGATTTAGTGCAGTTATCACATGCCTTACTATCCATCTTCCATCTAATCTCCTGCCCCTCTTTAAGTGTTTTCATTAAATGCGTCGAATCAATAAACCCTCCATTTCCAGCACCAACTACTGCCACTGGAACTATCATGCTACTGCTACAATTTACAGAAACCCCAGTTCCTGCTGGCAATACATAAGCATCATTGCTATTCCCACAAGGAATAGTGACTATCCCTGGAATATTATTAATTCCTCCATGGCAACCATATAGAAAGGTGAGGTTTGTGTAGGTGGTCGTATATTCAAAGAGCGAGTTATCCAGACTGGTGTTAAATTCTTAGGGGCAATTTCCTTCCATCATATCTTCTCTGACTATCTTCATTGTTTTCGAAGTCTGATTGATTTCCAAGACACAATATGTCTCGTCCATGATATCAATGGTTGTGTTCCCCTCATTGCAGGACAGCTCAAAACCAGGATGACCACAGTACAGAGAACCATTGTAGCTGCGAAAAGGATATCCCACATCACTGATATCACCACAGTTGAACATATTTCCACAACTCTGATAATAATAAAATTCTTCTGGAGAATCCGGATTGCTTGAGCCGCGGGGAAGAGGCATTAGGATCAAGAATTGCAGGATGGGAAGGAGAGGGAGAAAAGAGAACCACCCAAAGCTTCGGGAATTCATATGCAGAAAGTTACAGTGAATTAAAGGGGTAAAGTTGCATTGTTTGGAAAATAAACAAATACGGAGTACTATATATGTAGTTTTTAGAGATAGATGAGAGAAACAGAGTTAGGGAAGATATTGAGGAGATTGATATATGTTAGGTGGCAAATCACTTTCCTGGTAGACTTTGTAATAATTGTGTTCAGTTGAAAGAGTCTCATATTAAATTTCTAGGAAGTGATGAGGAAGTGTAACTTCCTAGAAATTTAATATGACACTCTTTCAATGAAAATGGAATTGAGAGGTCATGGAGTTCTAGTAGGAGAGGTATTGATTCTTTGTGGTTCAATATATTGAGAAAGTATATATGAATAGATAATACATTCTAATAGAGTCAGTAATAGTACTCAAAAAAAAATTCTAGGAAGTGAGTGAAGTGATTGATGAAAATGTAAAAACAAAGCCTCTTACGGTGGAGAGAGGTGAGAGGAGAGATTTTTCAAAAAATAAAATAAAATTGCTAGGGTACTGCAAGATACAATTCTTGAGAAGCAACAAAAAAAAAAAAAAAAAAATCCACAGTTTCGCCTGTCATTTAATTGATCTGAGTGTCTGACTAATAAGCTAATTTGGCTAGTTGATCTGATTGGTCTCTTCCACCTGTTTGAATAAATGCATAAATTCCACCCTACAATTCAGCTGTCCTCACCACAATCTATTTACTTCTGCTCTCCTTCTCATTTAACATACCATAACCTAATCATTACCATACCTGATACCTACAGAATTATATATACTAAGACTAACCATACTGATCAGGAGACAACAGTATCTACATATTGTAATTAAAAAAAATCATATTACACGGTTTCATTATTTAATGGATGATTTCAGCTCTAATACTCTGTATGAGAGTTATGAATATTTATCAAATTTGTTCTTACATGACAAAACACTATTTTTACTTTGTTGAAAACAGCAGGATGGCAGTATTATTTAGATATATTATATATGTCGTAAGATCCCATACTTAAAATCCTCATTTGATACATTATGGACCCTTTCTTGCATCAAATTTCTGTGGTAACTGATGATGATGTAGAGAACAGCTGAGGGAACTCGGTTGGAGGACAGAAAACCGGTTTGGGTGGAGTCTGCAAGGAGGCAATGCTTCCCTCCAACATCTCCACCACTCTTCTTATGGAAGGGCGGTCTGCTGGATTTGTTTGGATGCACCACAAACTAACCAATATCATCTTCATTGCCATTTCTTTATCCTCCTCATTTGTGATGCCTTCAAGACTGAAATCTAATCCTTGCTCCAGATGCTCATATATCCAATTCGGGAAATATAAGTCACTCGCCTGACCAGCGTGTACGTTCTCTCTTACTCCCACCATGTCAATAACGGTCATGCCATAACTATAAACATCAGACTTGTGTGAGACGTTTCCAATGCTTCCGAAGATAACTTCTGGAGCAATGTATCCTATTGTTCCTCTGACACCACACGCTGATAGTGATACAATGCTCTGCTCTTTCTTGCACAGTTTTGCGAGGCCGAAATCAGAGATTTTGGGGGTGAAATCCTTGTCCAAAAGAATGTTGTTAGGCTTAATGTCAAAGTGCATGATTCTTGTGTTACACCCTCTGTGCAGATATTCTAGTCCTCGAGCAATGCCAATTGCAATCTGGTACAATGTCTTCCACTCGAGACAACTCATATTTTGTGACCCCTTTTTGCCTATGTACTTGTCTAACGATCCATTAGGCATGAATTCATAGACCAAAGCTCTTTTCTTCTGGTAACAAAACCCTACAAGAGTAACTATGTTCACGTGGGAAGTTCGACTAATGCTAGCAACTTCATTTATGAAATCATCTCCAGTCCCCTTTGTGTCGGTCAATAGCTTCACAGCTACTGGGCATCCATCAGGCAGTTTTCCTTTGTATACACTACCAAAACCTCCTTCACCTATTTTGTCTTTGAATGAATTGGTCATTTTCTCTATATCCAAATAAGTATATACCTTGGTAGCATTGCATCCATTAGTCCTTATGAATGCTTCAATTTTTTCTAGGCTTTCATCACTCTTCCTTTTGCAGCAGCAGCAGCATATAAACATTGAATTTAGTATTATTCCGAACATGCCAAGCGGATAAACTGCATATATATATATATATATATATATATATATATATATATATATATATATATATAAAGGTTGAAATTAGGGTTACATTCTAAATGTAAATGCTGGTAGCACATCTAATTATATATGTTAAAATGTTAAAATGTTATGCAAAACAGTAATACACAAATCAGTAGTGGCTCTCACGCTTGAGCAGGAAAGATGGTTACTTTACCAAAAGGAATATCCACAACAGTGCTAAGCCCTTTTTTAGATTCTGCAAGAGGAAATACATGTTAAAAATGTTATGCAAAATAGTAATACACAAATCTATCTTAATTAAAATTAAAAAAAATTCATATGAAAATAGATACACATCATTCATTAAATGTGAGCCACGTGTAGTTGAATTATTATACTGAAGGTCCAAAAGGCCCCCCAAGGCATTGAATTATATATATATTAGATGGCATCCATCATCAAGTATAAGATTATGTTGAATTAGAACCTCGGCGACCGCACGGTAGGAATTATGTCCAAAGTGGATAGATTTTTTGTGGGCATCGACATTTGGCTCTGTTTACTAACCAATTAAGTCACTGTGATTTACATCCTCCCACATGCTCTGTCGGGTCGGAGTGTGGGGACCCTTAGGGTTAGAGATTCAACCTTTTGGGATAAGATTATGTTGAATTATTATTAACTATAGTGTATACCTTTATAATTATAACATTATTAATAATAAAATAAAAAATAGTTAAAAATAATTAATAATATCACAATGATAACAATAAATTGTAATAACAAATAGTTAATTTACTAAACATATTTCTATAACTCTTCTCCCATATATTTATATAACTCGTTAACACTATCAGCTGATTAAACCAGCTAATACAATCACTTATCCGCTAAACCAATCAGACCTTTATCAGTTAACAACTAATAGCTAATCGCCGAACACCCTTTACTTGCATATTTCCTCTAATTTAAGAAACGTAGAGGGAAATCTAGTCATGTTGGGCTGACCATTGCAAACTAAATGTGATTTTGACCTTCATTTTCTCTCCAAATTTAAAATAATAATGATGATTTTATTAGGACCGGGTCCACCATAAACCAGGTATAATTATAAAAAACAAGGCCTGAGACACGGAATGGCAGCCCAAGGGATGGGCTAGAAATAACTAATTAAGCTACTAATAGGATTCAAACCCAGACAAAAGGGTTGAGAGTATAAAACTTAAACCACTAGACTATAGTGCTTGTAGTGTTCATATCCCTGATTAGGAAGCTAGGCTCCCTATTTATAGTGAAATCACCCACATCTTGCACCCTTCAAGTGTATGTTCCCTGATCAACTCTGTCCACAACCTCCACGTGTCCCACGCCATGCCACCACTACGCACATACGCACCACCCCTCACCATTAGGCATGATCACGATTCGGTTCGAATCAAACCATTTACTATTACAACTGAACCGGAATCAAAATCGACCGTACGATTCCGACTAAGGTTCACGGAATTCTGGAACCGGATCGCCGTTTCCGGTTCCGTGAAATAAAAACGAAAAAATTTTAATTGCTTTTTCAAACTGCCAAAGCCGTGGATTATAAAATGGCCAATTAGCCTTAGCTTGCGACGGCAGCACCCAACATTCAATTTTAAAAGTTGGTTGTCTACAAATTGAATTTTTTGCATTTTTGGTCTCACGATTATGGTGTCACTAACAATTTTGATTCACAACTTTTAAAATTTGTAAAATTGATCCACGACTATGTCTTTTTTAGCAAATTTGGTCCTTCCGGTATATTTTTCGTTCAATTTTTGCTGAAAATTTTTATTTCCCATTTTAATATGGGTATTATTGTCTTTTCCATCTCACAAATTAATGACATAAATAAATTAATTAATTAAACACAGCCAGTGATACGGTGATTGAAATTAAAAGTCACCCAATTCCACTTTCAGTTTCACCCTCCTTGTTGAACTCCAGAATTTTTAGTTGTTTATTTATTTATTTATGTTATTAGTTTGTGAGATGGAAAAGACAATATTACCCATGTTAAAATGAGGAGTAAAATTTTTTGACAAAAATTGAACGAAAAATGCACCGGAATGACCAAATTTGCTAAGAAAGTTATAGTCGTGGACCAATCCTACAAGTTTTAAAAGTCGTGGATCAAAGTTGTTAGTGACACCATAGTCATGGGACAAAAAGTGCAAAAAACTCTCTACAAATTATATATATATATATATATATATATATATATATATATATATATATATATATATATATATATATATATTAAATATATTATATACTAATTACTACAAATATAAAATTAAAAAAAAAATCCGGTTAGAACAGACGATTTCAAAACCGGACATGAATCGTCCAAAAAAGGTTTCGATTCCGATTCCGGCTATCTTGGAACCGCGAACTGGCGATTCCGAATCGAAATCGAACCTTGGGCACCCTACTCACCATCCCACTCACCAGCACCCCCCCCCCTTACGCCACACCTCACGATGAGGGAGCGTGAAGAGGGTGTCAGGCCAACGCTGACTAGTGCCCCAGTTGACGGCCACCCCAGCGCGAAAGCTCCTGCGGTGGGGGCGCGATGGCCATGCTATCGCTCGCTGCCCCAGCGCCCTAGTCGCCTCACCCGATCGGTCACGCGGGACTGGCAGCACCCCCTCCATCGACACCCCACTCCCTCTGGGCTAACCCACCGTCCTCCCCTCGGCCCACTTCAATCAATCCCCTCACCTATTATATTCCGACCCAATACCACAAGTCCAAGAAAGCCTTAGCCCATAACCAATATCTTGATTAGATAACTACACCATTTAATTTGTTCCATTGCAGTTTAACGGAAGAAGTCTCTAAAATGACAGTATGTAGTATATGGAAATTTATGAAATGTTTTATAATGAGGTGTGAAAGAGTAGGGAGATAAGGAAAAGGGAAGGGAGCATACCATTGCAGGTAGTTCCATTACCACAGTAGCAAACAAATTGTGTTGAAATGCCACGGGAACCGCATCGTCCCCCGGACCTCATGCACTCCTCGCACAAGCTATTATTTGCTTTCCACAACACCAAAAAACCACCACCCACGGATGTTCTTAGAAGGTCCTCAGAAACAAAGGAAGCATTACCTAAAGTCTCAAAAGCTCCTTGGGTAACAGTAACAAAGATCTGACTCCCGCACTTGATGGAGATACTGGGGATATTTGGCAATCCTGCACTGTGCGACCAGAGGACATTATTTCTGTTTGAGATGGAATTCTCTTCACTGCAGTTAAAGAGGTTGGGAATTGGATTAAATGGAGCAGCGGTTATGACGTTGCAACCGTAGAACAGGGTGATGTTCTGGTCGCCAGGGGAAACGTCGTAGCTGAAGAGGTTGAAGTCCAAGGATGCGTTTCGAGGATTTGAGGGGCAAATATTGCTTAACAGATCGTCTCGGGCAATAGTGGCCGTCTGCCACCGGTTGCTGATATTAAAAACTCTGTATTTCACCGATAGGATTGTTATTTCCGGTGACTGATTAGTGCAGTTCAGGCCAAAATGTGGGTGGCCGCAGTAGGCCGGCCGGCTCCCTCCCCAGAAAGGGTAGCCTATGTTTTCAATATTGGCGCAGCTGAACGAGTCACCGCACCTCACATACTCATCAGGACTACTGCCATGATTTTGACAGAAATTTGCAGGCGTGTGGATGAAGATGAGGAGTGTAATGAGTGAGAGCAATGATTTAAGACTAAGATTGGAATCCATATTGGCCGGGTCAGGGTGTCTGCCTCTGATAGATCATGAAGCATTGCGGTTTATTTAACTGCTCACAAACTTCAACTCTTGACTTTTAGTTGCTTATGTCAGTCAATGTCAGATTATTATTTTTTTGTTTATTAGGGCATATTCTTTACTTAGTTTACTATCCTATGTTTTAATTAATTAATTATTTATTATCATTCTAAAAATTATAATTGTAATTATAATTATAAAATTGATTAAATATTATTTATAATTATAAATTTAAAGAAAAATTGTAAAAAATGCTCCTCCATAATATGTCACCTGAATTATGAGTGGTGTAAATGTTGCCCCTCAATTATTAAAATGGTGCACATATAGCCCATCTCGTAACGGACCTGTGGTTCTCCACCGCTGTCCATCGCTGGTACTTCGAATCGAGGGAGGGAAAAAATAACTAAATTACATATTTACTCCCACTTAACAGTGTCGTACACTAACGGAGAACCACATGTTCATTACGGGAGGGACTATATGTGCACCATTTTGATAATTGAGGGGCAACATTTACACCACTCATAATTCAGGGGTGACATTGATAAATGGCATATTATATAGGAAATTTTTTTACAATTTTTCCTAAATTTAATAAGGGAGAAGTGTCAAATAGGCCCATATACTATTGCAAAGTGCTCAATTCCCACAAAACGAACTAAATTAAAGTCTAATTAGACACATTTACCAACTAAATTTGTTCAATTAACTTTTTTTTTTTGTAGGTTGCTAACCAGTTGCCAATTTAATTATTAAAAAAATAATTTAAAAAAAAAAAAAAAGAATTTCAGCCACCGGCTGTTCGGTGAGGACAGCTGGTGGCTGAGTATTTCACAGACAGCTAGATGTCCAGCTGTCCTTGCCAGACAGCCACGGCTGTCTGTGAAATACTCAGCCACCGGTTGTCCTTGCCGGACAGCCGGTGGCTGAAATTTTTTTTAATTTTTTTTAATAATTAAATTGATTTATTTTATGTTTTTTAATAATTAAATTGACAACCAGTTAGCAACCTGCAAAAAAAAAAGTCAATTGAACAAATTTAGCTGGTAAGTGTGGTTAATTAAACTTTAATTTAGTTCGTGGTGGGAATTGAGCACTTCGCATTAGTAAATTTGTCTATTTGACACTTCTCCCATTTAATAATAATATTATTGATAATTATGAATATTTAATTTAATTGATAATTATGAATTTAATAAATTTAATAAACAAAAATAAAAATAATTTAATAAAATTTTAAATTAATAGTTTTTTAAAAAAAAAATAAACAGCAACTGGTCGTTGCATTTTGCATGCAACGGCCAGTTTTAAAATAAAAAATAACAAAACAAAGACTTGGAAGTGGATTTATTTGTGTGATTTTTGAGAAGTTTTTGTAAGTATGATTAGGAAAGAGAAGACGGAAAGATAAAAAGAAAAAAGGAAAAAAAAAAAAACAAAAAGAAAAAATGATCTGACATTA